GTTTAAAGTGTGTTCTTGGTGTGCATAAAGAAGAAGGAGTTGCATCAAGGAGCTTAGAAGTTGAAACAAGCTTGTGGATCTTGGATCATTACCTCCTTGGGAAGCTCCAGAAGATAAAATGTCTTCACCTTGATGCTTTGTTTGCTTGGATCTCATTTTGGTAGCTTTATGTTGTTATTCTTGTCTCAAAAGTCCCATTCTTATGCATGTTTGGTTTTAGACGATTTGGGTCGTCCTTCCAGACCCTAGGAAGGGTCCTAAGCCATAAAAATGAGGTCCCTATAGCTAGTTTGGCTCCATGTTTCTTGTAAAAAGTCTTAATGGATTAAGATCTTGCATTAAGAACTTTTTGGACGTGAAAAATCATAAAGTTGGGAACTTTATGATGCTAGTATGCCTCTGGGCCTTGTATATGAAGTTTGAGTTCAAGTGCTAAAGCCATTAAGCACTTAATAAAGAAGTTGGGTCTGCGAAGGTACACCCCAGCGTACCCGGTCATCCAAACCGATGATGGTTCTCTGCGAAGCCTCGTGTATGCTGAGCGTACCTCTACAATACGCCACGCGTACGTGCTTGGAGCAGCCCATGTTGAGTTAACTCGGTTGGGTTGACTCGGCTGGGTTGATTCAGTGGGTTTATGGGCTTTGACCAGTTGACTCCAAGTTTGACCATGTTTGACTAAGTTTGACCAAGTTTGACTTTTGAGGGTATTTTGGGTATTGTTGGGATTTTGATGGAATTGGTCACTAGGTGGATGTAGGCATTGAGTAGAGAGCTGAGATTCGAAGTCAGGCCTTACCAGTTTTATTCAGCTTGTGAGGTGAGTTTTCCTCATTGTTATTGCGGGTCGAAGGCACCAATGCCGGCCCATTGGATTGATATCCTGTTATGCATGCTATTGTGCTGTTGTGATCTGTTAGATCGGTATCCTGGTCGATAGGATGTTGATATGCTTAGTGATCTGTAGATCTGTTTGACTAGTTGTAGACTGTTATATAATTATATGTTATATGTGCACATGTTTGGTCGGTGACCGAGGCTTCACTGCTTTGTGCGTACGCCAACAGGCCGGGACATTCCAACCCGATGGTTATGGGCCTAGGGTATTCCATCCCGAGGATGACTGGACCCATAGTATGATGACATTTCAACCCGATGGTTGAGGGGCCTGGGGTATTCCAACCCGATGGTTGATTGAACCTGTAGTATGTTGGCATTCCAACCCGATGGTTGAGGGGCTGGGGTATTCCAACCCGATGGTTGATTGGACCCATAGTATTTTGTTATTGTATATGTGTTATTTGTTGTGTTGGTACTTTGGGGGAGCTCACTAAGCTTTGGGCTTACAATTTTGGGTTATGTTTCAGGTACCTCAGATGATCGTGGGAAGACAAAGGTTTGATCGTGCACCTCCTCATGTTGGGTCTTGTGATTTTGGTAAAAAATCTGATATTAAACATATTTTGAAAATTACTATGTAAACAATTATGATTTTTGATTGGTTGAAAACTTTTAAATTTTATGAACTTTTATGGATGTTACAATCATGATATGGAATTGAATATGTCACGACATGATAGTGAGCATGTCACGACGTGAAGAGTGATGAGTCATCAGAATGTTCGAGATTCATACGTATAAAAACCAAGGTCCCTTGGTCACCACGACGTGGTGCATATATAGCCACGACATGGCATGAGTCAGATCGTCGAGACATGAGGCACAAGAGTACAATACGTGTCAAGATCGTAGTGTGTTAGGTCGTCACGACGTGACACTTATGGGGCCATGACGTGACATGTGTTTAGCTATAAATACAAGAGTTTTCGTGTCATTTAGGAGAGTTTGGGACACGGGACAGGAGATGCTGCTCGGGAGTCGTTTGCGGGAGATTACTATGGTGAAGTTATACGAGTAATACGAGGGCCGAGTTACAGGATACGTTGAGGTATCTTTTACCGGTTAAATTGTATTTACAATATGTGATTGTTATTTAGAGTCGATAGACCTGAGTATATTACATGTATTCATGATACGATGTTGTTACAAACCCGTTGGTAAAATTTTGAGAAAATCTTATGATTTTAGATTTGTCGAGACTTTCGAGGTTATGCACCCCAATATTTGAGAATTACCCATTATGAGAGATTTAGTTAACGAATTACATGTTAAGCCTATCATTTTTTATATTATGGGATTTTATTGTCATTATGAAGAGTGGTTATAGAGTATACCTAATAGTGAGTTGAGACAGGTTCTGAGGAACTTGTTATGTGATGAGTAGGTGTTACCATGTGACGAACTGATAGGCAGATAGGCAGTGGATGATGGAATCCGATACTAGAATTAGTCTGTCGAATGACCAGGTGAGTAACACTACTGTAACATCCGCTGTTTGGATATTTGCGTTATTCCTTATGTGAAATATATATTTTGATATGTAGGATTGATTGAGAGATTGATGAGAATTGGGAAATAGATTATTTGATAGATTGATTGATCATGATTGAGAGAGATAGATCTTTTATTGAGTAATTGATCATGATCAGGAGATTGATTTTGATTGAGGTAGATCATGATTGATAGATTAATGTTAATCGATAAAGAGAGGGAGATCATCACCGAGAGATAAATCATAACTGATAGATATATCATTCCTAAGTATTAGATTTTATTAAATCTTTGATACATGATTTATATTATATATGATTTATCTGATTATGGTATTGTAGTTGTTATTCATAAGCCATGATGCTTATGTTTTTGTGATGATCTGTTTTGCAGGTATATTATTTGTGACGCCCGACTCGATCCTATACTTGCAGTCAATACGATTCTTTTAATAGCTTCTTGTATGCCAGATAACCAGTGTATACCAAAATAAATTGTAAATTTTAAATGAAATTTTTTTTTTTTTTGGGGTGTACCTGACCTAACTTAAGGAGTTTGAGATCTCTCAAAGGACCCGATTCAGGCTTAATCAAGTCTTTGTCTAGCCTTTTTCTTACTAGGTCCATACGTTGGGCCCGAGATATATATACTAAGTCGTTGAATGGTCCATGTTAATAAAGTTGATGTAGAATGGAAGTTAACAAACAAAAATGTTGAAAAACTCAAGAGAGTATGTAGTTATTGAATTGAATATGCCTCTAAATGCTTACATAAGGCTAGGGATATAAACGAACCGAACGAACACGAACGGATGCTAGTTCATGTTCGTTTGCTTAAGTTAACCGAACAAATGAACGAACACGAACATATTAAAATTATACTATATTAAGATAAGATACCTTACCTTTAAACAACTAAATTTGGTGTAGAAGAACAAGTATTTCCACACATTGCTATGATTAAATCGAAATGAAATCCACAATTGCACTTTTGCGTCTTCTTCAAGCAATCATTAATGTTAATATTCTCGCCATACCTGATCAAACACAAGAATACAACATATACAGATGCAGATGCACCAACAAAAAATCCCTTATTTACCAAACAAATGTCCTAAACGCACTCAATTTGCTTTCTATTAACATCACACACATAAAACAATTTTACAAGTACTTTACCCACTAAAAAGGCCACGATAGTTGTTCAGGGTTTTGTGCATTTTATTTTACAAGTACTCTATTAACATCAGACACATAAGTACCAAAGGGCTTCTAGCCCAGCGGTATCCGGTGTTGCCCTCCTTCTTTGAGGTTGAGGGTTCAAGTCCGCCGTGGACATATATGGATTTAAGGTGTAGTTTAGGAGTAGGTTAGATTTGATGTTTCAAAAAAAAAAAAAACATTACACACATAAGTGATAAAACATTAAGTTGCATTTTATTTACTTATTTTTATAGTTTAGTTTATATCTTTTTAATTAATAATCATGTGTATTTTCATTTTATTTATTCTATATCTATATCAAATACGATTCGAGTTTTGTGCTTATTTCAGATTTTTAAAAGACTCGATGCAATACAGATTTGTTCAGGGTTGGTCCGGAGTTTCGCGGACCATTTATGGGCTCGAGAAGTTGAAGACTTACACCTTAATTTGGGGTGGCCGGGAGAGTTAGATGCTTAAAAAATGAAGATTTGGGCTAACTTTTGGCCGATAACTGGGCTAAATTTCGGGTCTTTAAGAAGCTGGTGAAGAGGGAAAAGTGGCTATTTAGTCTAGAATCGCTACTTAAAGTGGTGTATTTTGAGTTAGATAATGGCTACTTGAAGTAGACAACAAGTGGCGATTTTGAACTGTCCAAAATTCTTCCGATAATTTGCCAAATTTTCGAACAAAACATTACCTATCACCAAAAAAAAAACAAAGAGTTATTAATCGAAATGATGAAAAGAACTAATGCTTATGTAAATAAAAGGATAAAGTAATCTATACTTCTAAAAATATTACAATATTTTTTTAATAAATTTTCTCTTTGATAAATCAAATATCCTCCTATCTTTTTGTTCTTACTTCTTACTCATGGTTATATCATGGTTATATCATTATATCAATGTAAGTGTCAAAATCAAAAGGGGATTAAGAAAAAGAATTAGTAAATTATATATGTTATTATTTTAACAAAAAATAAAAAAAACATCTTTTTTGAACTTTATTTTTATTTAGTTAAGACATTGTAAATGGTATAAAAACGGAGCCTTCTTGAATTCAGCATTTCATTTCATTTTATAAGTCTCGAAAATGATGATGATGTTCATGTGATATGTTCACCAATATCTTCGATCAATAACAAAGAATTCCATGTGTAATGAATTTTTACTTTATTGTTTAAATTTCATTATATTATCTGTTTGTCTTTTAAAAAACAACTAACTATTTGTGTTTTAAGTTGGGTTTATCCTCTTATACCAGATTATAATATGTTAGCAATATTAATGAAATTAAATATCTAATCATATCTCATATTTTAATTTGCAAAAAAAAAAAAAACCAACAAATTCGTTAATATCCCCTCCATAAATAACTAAGCGACAGCTTCAACCCTTCCGTTTCCACAGAATTCCATTCGACAATGGAATCAAGTTTCATAATTCCATGTCTTCTTCTACTTCTCTTGCAGTTTCTTTGTCTCGCCGCCGGCCAACTAAATTATTTCCCCATTTTCCGATGCAGAGACGACGGTAATTTCACGAGAAACTCCACATACGAAGCAAACCTCAAAACCGCCTTCGCTTCCCTCTCCGCCACCGCAGCAACAGGCTACGGTTTCTACAATACCTCCGCCGGCGTAAGTCCAAACGCCGTCACCGCCATCGCTCTCTGCCGCGGCGACGTTGGATCGGAAACCTGTAGGGATTGTATCAGAAACTCAATCGTCCTGCTAAGACAGAACTGTGCTAACCAGTTAGAAGCCTTAATTTGGAGCTCGAGTTGTTCAGTACGCTATTCAAATCGTACTTATACTTCAGTTGTCGATGTTCGACCTAACGCCAGAGTGTCGAGCTCCATTAATGCATCGGACATTGACGTTTTCGATAAGGCGTTGAGAAATTTAGAAGGAAGATTACGGGTGGAAGCTGCAGGAGGAAATTCCCTTCGGAAGTTTGCAACCGGAGATGTTGGTTTCGGGCCAGATTCGTCGAAGATTTACGCTCTGATGCAATGTTCGCCGGATTTATCTTCTTTTGACTGCAATTCGTGCTTGTCGGTTGTGTATAGGGAATCTCAAGGCTGCTGCGATGGCGAAATTGATGTCGGTGTATTTTATCCGAGTTGTTGCGTTAGGTATTCAAATGTATCGTTTTTTAATGATCCTCCGGCAATCAAGCTGCCGTCTCCGCCTCCATCTTCATCAGAATCGCCGACAATTACAGGTACGCATTGCATTTTTCATCCTGGCAAATTACACTCAATAGAACAATATTTATGTTATAAATTTTTAATTAAATAAAATATTTGATTACTTGTTTATATGCAAATTAAAATTTTAAAGCTTGACAAAATTACAAAAATGATCCCTGTGGTTTACCAAAAGTCACAAGGTCAGTCTATTAATTTTTTTTGATGCAAATGGTCCTTGTAGTTTGCGAAACTTGCAAAGTTGGCCCTTTTTACTAACACCGTTAGTAAAACGCCGTTAGGGACTAAATCTGTAAGAGCATTTTCGTCTTTTCAAGTATAGAAGGACTGAATTCGTGACATTTGAGAAACCACAGGGACCATTTTTAAAATTTGTTTGAAAAAATAAGTTAATTTGATGAAGGAAGGGGGAAGGCTTGAACTCACAACCTCTACCCACTTTATTTGACAAAAACCTTAACAAATTGAGCTGATTGCTTACTTGGTTATAACACCCTAAAACTAATTTATATAATAACAAAAACGTTAATATTTAAATAATAAATAAATTACAAAAAACATTTTGTTTTACATAACTTTTTTTTAAATAAAAGAAAAAGTATTTTAGTCGTATTACAAAAAAAATTGTTTTTTACAAACAATTTGTATGTATTTTAATGTATTTATTTTATGTAAAATATATTTTTTTATTTCTTTAAAAAATAAGTTTTCATATAAAAAATATGTTTTCGTATATTATATTTTTGATGTCTTTGAAATAATAATAATTAACACTACTCATGACATAAAAAAATGTATAAATTCTGTTGAGCCGCTACTTCTAAAACCGTTTTTTCGGTTATATGTATTAAAAACAACTTAACAACGATTATGTTATGTATCTAAACAATTTATACGATTTGTTTTTTATTTCAAGAGTACTATTAATTATCGTTATTTTAAAAAGATGTATCACTATTTCTTTTCATCTTCATTTCAATTATACGATTTAGAACTTGCAATTAAGATGAAATACGTATTTTAAATAAGATATATAACCGAATAGGCTTTTTATGTTTTTTTAAATACATATAACCGAAAAACGGTTTTCAGAAAACTGATTGGTCCAATCGGTTTTCTGAAAACCGTTTTTCGGTTATATGTATTTAAAAAAAGATGAAATACGTATTTTAGAACTAGCGACCCAAAAGAATTAATATTTTTTTTATGTCATGAGTAGTGTTAATTATTATTATGTCAAAGAAATAAAAAAATATATAATATACAAAAACATATTTTTTATACGAAAACTTATTTTTTAAAGAAATAAAAAAAATATATTTTACGTAAAATAAATACATAAAAATACATACAAATTATTTGTAAAAAACAATTTTTTTTGTAATACAACTAAAATACTTTTTGTTTTATTCAAAAAAAAAGTTATGTAAAAAAAATGTTTTTTGTAATTTATTTATTATTTAAATATTAACGTTTTTGTTATTATATAAATTAGTTTTAGGGTGTTATAACCAAGTGAACAATCAGCTCAATTGGTTAAGGTTTTGGTCTAATAAAGGTGGTGGAGGTTGTGAGTTCGAGCCTTCCCCCCTTCCTTCAGCAAATTAATTTATTTTTTCAAACAAATTTCAAAAATGGTCCCTGTGGTTTCTCAAATGTCACGAATTCAGTCCTTCTATACTTGAAAAGACGAAAATGCCCTTACAGATTTAGTCCCTAACGGCGTTTTACTAACGGTGTTAGTAAAAAGGGCAAACTTTGCAAGTTTCGCAAACCACGAGGACCATTTGCATCAAAAAAAATTAATAGGGACTGACTTTGTGACTTTTGGTAAACCACAGGGACCATTTTTGTAATTTTGTCTTAAAGCTTTTAACATAGTATAATAAAATTGGATTTTGATAATAAGTTTTTCAAATAAATGAAGAGAGAATTACTAATCTAGTCATTTTCCCTAATTATCTATCAAAAAATAGCCAAAAAATAGAGTTTAGCCAAAAATAGCCCCCGAAAGAATAGATGACTAGCGTTGACGACGGTCAACATGTGTTGACTACGGTCAACGGGGTGAAGTCTATGGTTTTAGGGCAATGGGCTACTGTTTCTCTGCCCGTCTACTCTTTCGGGGCTCATTGGCCCATAGTATATAATGTATTGATTTTCATATTAGGTCATTTTTACTACTTTTTTCTTGGTTTTTTAGTGTTTTCTCTTAATAGAGCACCCGAAGAACAACGATATACGTCTATTTTTTTTTATCGAAATTTTACCGTATTCTTGATTAGGAGTAGTTTTGTACATAGGGATAACTTTAAAAAAAAAAAACCGAAAAGTAGTAAAACCATAGGCTTCATAAGAAACCTACGGTGTACAAGTCCACAATGCACAGTTTGTGCATTGTTGACTTGTACACCGTAGGTTTCGTATAAAGTCTACGATTTTTATCTTTTATTTTTTTGTTTTTTTAAAAAAATGGTTGTAACCTATATAAAAATGTGTGTGTATATATATATATATATATATATATATATATATATATATATATATATATATATATATAATGATTCCTTGATTTTTTTTTCGAAAAACAAAAAAAAATTACCGAAACCATAGACTACGGTTTGGGAAACCGTAGATCGTGGAGAGAAAACCGTAGGTTATAAAATAACCTAGGGTTTTAGATTTTCGAAATGAATATATATATATATATATATATATATATATATATATATATATATATATATATATAGTTAACCCGAAACAGTAGATCATTTGACGAAACAGTAGCCCACTCTAATTACCTACGGTTTCGTGGATTATTTTTGGACAATTGCTAGTTTTTGGCTATTTTTTGAAAGATAATTAAAGAAAATGGCTAGATTAGTAGTTTTCTATAAAAAAAAATTAAGACGTTAAATCCGAACCATAATATTCCTAGTGTTATTTATAAGGTGTTGCTTTGCATACCCTTTAATTTGACATAAATCAAACCTATTCTTAAACCCTCACGATTTCATTTAAATAACCATTTTGAATGATTATTTTTTGTCAATTTTTTTTTGTCTTTTGTTTATTATTATTATTATTATGTCATTTTGTTTTTAATTATTTGTGTTTTAGAAAAATATTTTTATATGGCTGTATCTTTATTTTTACAAACTATGATATCCTACATATTGTTCTATAAAAAATATTATGACTATCCATGTATTATGTTTTTCGTTTGGATTGTCTATTTATTATTTTTTTCGTTCAGACTTCCAGATGTTATTTTTTCGTTCATACTATTATTTGATTTTTTTTTCGTTCGGACTACTATAATTGTGTTTTTTTTCTTCTGTTGGATTATCCATATGTTATTTTTTTTAATCGGAGTATCCATGCGTTATTTTTTCATTTGGAATATCCTTATGTTATTATTTTCATTCCGAGTATCCATGTGTTATTTTTTTTCCTATCGACTATCTTTGTGTTATTTTTTTTGTTCAGACTAACAATGTATTATTTTTTTGTTTTTGTTAAATTTTTTTTACAAACAAATTATATGTATGTTGGTATGTGAGTTTTATTTAACGACTTTGAAAATCGCAACAAAATAATAACACTAGATAGTCCGAATTAAAAAAATAAAATAATCATAGTCCGGACGAAAAAAATAACACATGGATAGTCTGAATGAAAAAAAAAAACATAAAAATAGTCCGAGTGAAAAAATAACACAAAGATAGTAAAAAAAAATACAAAGATAGTCAGAATAAAAAATAACATAGTGATAGTCGGAATTAAAAAATAACATGGAGATAATCTGAACGAAAAAATAATACATGGATAGTTTGAGTGAAAATATAATACAATGATAGCTGAATGAAAAAATTAACACAAAATAGTCCGAAACATTTATAATGTTAATAATAATAATATGTACTTATTAAAATTATTAAAAAAAAACAGAAAACGAAAAAATAAAAGAAAACAAAAAACAACTAAAATACGAAAAATCATGTCGATAGGGTAAACCAAACCAAACAATTTTAAATAAAGAAAATCCCTATTTGTATTTGTATTTGACCCAGAATGCAATAATTACTATTATTAGGATAATGAGAATTCTATCAACTTGCCTTAGTGGAGTTATAATAGCTTTTAAATAATTAATTGATTTTTATTATAAAGAGGATATAACAATAATAATGTATTCTGTCAAGTACTTAAGTTGTCTTATTAGGTGGAGTTGATAGCTTTTAAATAATTAATGGAGTTTTATTATGTAGATGATATAACACTAATAATATTCATTCAATATATGTGATAAGAAAAACAAATTCATAATAATCTTTACTAATATTCTATAATCTACTCTAATAAATGCAGATCCATTTTGCTACATGTCAATATCTCATAAGTTTTCATATTTGTCATTTTGTGGTATTTTTTAAATAAATAATATCCACATGTTAATTTCTGAGTTTTTTTTGATTTTTAAAATTAAAAAGCCACATAATATTTATATCCTTATATATGTAAACTATTAAATGTAATAAATATGATAGTAATTGAAATTAATACATTTCTTCATTCGTTATTTCAAAATTTTATTTTAAAAAATACTTATTGTTTATACTTTGATATTTAATCTTTTTTTTAATCAACCCGTGTATTACACGAGTTTTACACCTACCGACTATAAATAAACAACTCAAGCAATGTACTAACTATAAGATCATTTCAAGTGTTAAAAAGATAACAAATAATTACCCAAATATAAAAAAATAATGGTATTTTAAAAAAATTTACATATTTGTAAATAAGAATTTTTATACAAAATTTGTTGATATCAAGCAAACTATATAATTGACGAGTGAAAACCAAAACCACAATAAGTATTAATAATAGTATGAAACATTATTTCTTGATAATCTCTTTTTCCTATTCTAATAAAAGAATAAGTTTATTCTTCTTTTACCATGTGTTACCCGGTCTCCTAATTAATGTCATGTCATTTGTCAACCTATTGATTCTCCATTTCAAGTTTCAATTTTAAATTTCTCATTTTAATTACATTAAATTAATAATATTAGAATCAAAATTAAAATAAATTTAATACATATTATAAGATTACGTATTTATTGAAATCAACGATTAAAATTTTATATAACTAAAAAAGTCTCTTAATTAGAAATTTATTTAAAATAATTTATTAATAATTTTGAGTTACTATGAAAAATTAATTAATTTTGTAATCGTGGTTTCCACGGGTTATAAACTAGTTAATATTTATGCATGCAGGAGGAACACGAAAGTCATCAAAGAATATTTACGTCATCGTTCCTGTTGCATGTGTTTTGGGTGGGATACTCATAATCGGGTTATGTTTATTTATAAAAAGAAGGCGAAAGAATAATATTAAAGATGCTTCTGCTACCAAAAAAGAAAGTGGGACTGCGTTTTCGTCTCTAGTTATGAGCGAAAACCAAAACAACAGCGCTAATTTAGCACAAGCTGGGTCAGGTAATAAAATTAAGTGATTATAATTTTACTGGAAGCTAAGGGGGTAAAGATTTACATTTATGATCAATATTATAAAGTTGTTGCCCAATAATTGCATGTTATATATGTAGCTGAAATGGAAATGGGTGTAGTAGGATCTTTACAATTCGATTTGGTCACCATTGAAGCAGCCACCAATAGTTTCTTTGATGGAAACAAAATTGGTCAAGGCGGCTTTGGTCCAGTTTATAAGGTACACAGTTGATCATTCTTTCGTATTTTGTAGTAGTCGATATATTCTGTATGTTATTCATATAATTTAATTAGCATGTATATGTATCCCATGTTACGAAAATCGGATAGAATTTCATTTATATCCCTCGTCCACAGACGAACCACCAATGGTTACATGCCTCCATGGATATGGGCATTACATATCACTCTTGGTCATCATAGTCTAGAGTTTTTATTTTATCGCATCTTAGGTCTCGTTATTTCATTCAATGTCATAAGGTACCTTACTCCAATCTTTGTAATTCTTGCAAAATTGAGTTGCAAGAGATGTCAAAGGGGTAATTTGGAGTTTGTGGTCGAGTATACCTTTGACGTACCATCATAATGTTTATCTCTTGCTTATTGACAACTATGTACAACATACCTAGATCGATCCCAGATTTTATGTAAGCGTTATACAAATATTATCTCTTGCTTAGTGACAAATATACATAGGGGGTGTCTGAGATTGCTTATTTAAAGTGTTTATTAGCTTATTGCGGTTTGTTACCGTTAATAAACATTTTTAAGGGTTTGGATTGGGAAAAGTTAAAAATCTTTTTATTTTATTTTATTATTTTTTTTTTGTAGTAGTAGTACATCGTACTATGAGTATGTATTAGGTTATCGGGTGTCAAAACAAAATTTAAAAATTGTTTGAATTAATTTAACCAGAACTTAATAAATTGATCAATTATTTTCAGTATTTGACGAATTCTGCTTATACGTCTGATGAGGAAGTAATTTATCAAAAACTACTTATTTAAGTTAATAAGTAAAAAGGAAGTAACTTATCATAAACATCTTATATAAGTTCATTAATGCCGCTAATATTCTCCTATTCAAACACTTAAAATAGTTTACTATCGGTGCCAAACCGCAATATGTCAATCAACATTTTAAATATGCAATCTCAAACACCATATTACTTCTTACTTATTTAAAACTCGTTATTAGATGCAGTCATGCATAAATCTTTATACCACTCTACCCCTAGTTTAGTCCTTAGAGACTTTTTGGCGCTACTTATTATTCGATTTTAGTTAAAGATTTGAAGGTTTATTTTTGCTGAAGTTTTTTTTTTGGCTTCGTCCCAAGGTAGAGTTTGTGGAAAATGCTTTGAAACCCTTTTCTTGCACAAGCAATGTGCTGTTAGTGCAACATTTTCTAGAAGTGTTGCGTTTGAGTGTGTTGCATTAGGGTATTACTTTTCTTTTATGCAACCTTTTTCCCATTGCTGCTGCATAATTATTAGTTTATGTGGAATTCGAAAATACCATTAGTTATGTGGCTATTAGTACTCTCAATTTATAAGGAATGTTTCTTTTCTGTAGGAGTTTTGGAATATGATTAGGATTCTTGTGAGACTATTATATAAAGCCCTTTAGATTGTTTATTACCATTTATTCCATTACATCTTCTTTCTCTCCTCTCTTGTTGGAGATTTATTAGCCATGTAACCTTTCAATAAGAGTAACATTTCATAGTGGGTTTCCACTTTAAATCATGGTGTTTGTTTGGTTGTTCCACATTGATCTTTTTTATAACAGTAACCTAGTTCAAAGAGGTCTAGACTTTGATGATTCTCTTTGCTCATTTTGTGCGGATGTTCGGGAATGTACAAATCATGTGTTTTTGAGCTGTGCAATTTCCATAACCGTTTGGAACAAAATTGAAACATGGTGGGAGATGAGCTTATCTAGATGTTGAAAGCATGGTGATGTGCTTGACGTAATCAAGGAGATGAAGGAAAAGAACGAGGTTAGAATGGCGTTTGATTGGGTGGTTGGGGCAACCATATGGGATATTTGGAACATGAGACACAAGGCTCTCTTTAAGGGCAAAAATGGAATTTGTGATGTTGTATTTGATCACTTACGGATGTGGTAGCTTTTAAGTCATTTAGTAGCAGGTGTAGTAAATATAAAAATTGAGTGGAATGCTTGGTTAATAAGCTCGTCTCTGTAGTGCTCTAACTCCCTTGTACGTAGTTTTCATCTAGCTTGGTTATTTCTGTTTTCCAAAAAAAAGTTAACAATATCACATTATAATTGTAGGGTGTTCTAGAGAATGGGATGGAGGTGGCAGTAAAGAGACTATCAAAATCATCTGGACAAGGTTCACAAGAATTCATAAACGAAGTCATTTTGATGGCAAAGCTTCAACATTGAAATCTCGTGAGGCTTTTAGGGTTTTGCCTTGATGTGGATGAAAAATTACTCATCTATGAATACGTATCCAACAAAAGCCTCGACTACTTTCTATTCAGTAAGCCAAAACACCAAATCCAACTTATTTGTAAATTTTTTGTATGAATTTGTTACAATCTCCAATGTTTTTTTTTTATAATATAGATCCAAACAGACATGGGCAGTTAGATTGGCCGAAACGATATAAAATCATAGGAGGGATCACTAGAGGAATGCTTTATTTACATGAAGATTCTCGTTTAAGAATCATTCATCGTGATCTTAAGGTTAGCAATATTTTGCTAGATTTTGATATGAACCCTAAGATTTCTGATTTTGGTCTAGCAAGGATAGTTGGAGTGGGTCAAACTGAAGTAAACACCAATCGAATTGTCGGAACATAGTAAGTTTTCAACTCTCTTGCTTTTGTTGGTAATTTTTAGTGTTATCAAAAATTAAAGAGGTTACAAAGTTGATTCCTAGCAAAAAAAAAAAGTAAATAAATAAATAAATAATAAATAAATAAACAACCCTAACCCAAACTATTTAATTAAATGGGTTAAAAAATCTCAACCAAACTTGCAAGTTTTGGGTTGAGTTCGAGTTAGGTCGGCTTATGGTAGCTCTAGCTACATGGTTAATATTTTGAGGTGTCAAAAACTTTAGATACGGGTCTCGCTATTTAGGGTGCGTTTGGTTGTGGATTTATTTTTTTCAGCTTTCAATGAAAAATTTCAAATAAAAAAAGAAAATTTTAAAAACGCGTTTGGTTGATTCAGTTTTCAAAAATTTTCCACGAAAATAAATTTTTTTTGTTTTCCAAATTGTATTTAAATTAGAAAAGTGACTTTTTATAGTTTTCCAAAGTTTTCTAAATTTCTAGAATGAAAAATGAAAACTCCACCGGTTTCAATCAAACATGTTTTTTAACAATTTTCATTGAAAACTGAAAATGAAAACTCAATTCTATTTTCCGAAGACGTTTTCTAGAAAAATAAAAACAATTTTTCACAACCAAACACACCCTTAGTAAGGGATTCTTCTATCCAAAAAAATATTAGATTCTTTTGTAATGACAAATGTTTTTGTAGTGGTTACATGTCCCCCGAGTATGCAATGCACGGACATTTTTCTGTGAAGTCGGATGTATTTGCTTTTGGCGTTGTGGTTCTTGAAATCATCACTGGGAAGAGAAGTTCACGCTTTTATAATGAAGATGATCACCAAGATCTTTCACATTTTGTAAGTTTTACCATTCTTCCATGCCTTAATTCTCCTTGCATTAATCACTCCATGAAACTAAAAAGTCATATTCTCATGCTTTGTATATAGGAAGGAAAAGGAATAGATGAAATCATGAAACCTTGTTTTTAATTTCTTCTGGATATATCTTTCATCTAGAACATGATTAAAGTCATAACTTTCCTTTCCTTTTTTTTTTTCCATCCGATTATCTTTAAAATCGAAAACACAACGTTACATAGTACCTTTCTTATATAAAAACAAAAAATTCAGGCTTGGAAAAGCTGGATTGATGGAAGAGCAATGGAGCTTATGGATCCAACAATAGTCGAAACTTGCTCTGAAGATGAAGTTATGAGATGCATCAACATTGCGTTGCTATGTGTACAAGAAGATGTGGATGCAAGGCCTTCAATGGCTTATGTTTTAAACATTCTTAACAATTACTCCATCTCTCTTCCAATTCCCACAAGAACTCCACAGTATCTTCCTAAAAGACATGGCTCATTTTCTTCAAATAGCAACTCTGTTTCTAAGTCAACGGATGAATCACTGATCACTAATGTATATGCACGGTAACAGTTACTTGCAAGTTTTTTACCATCAATTCATGCCATTCTTTATACTTTCATGTTTATTTTAATTACATAATCAGTATTCAATTATTACATCAACTCACATAACATCCTTTTGTTTTATACGGGTGGTTAGATGTGTTGCAGATTACAATTTTAATAAATCTAATTCTATTTATTAGGGGGAAAATAACTATTTTTCGAAAAACAAATTAATAAGAGTATTTTTTTTTCTTTTAAACAAATAGAAGAATGTTAAAATTCCACAAACTAGGGAGAACCTAGAAAACTAAGAAACACCAAAAAGACCAACACCTTAACAAATCAATTCTAGAGAAACAAACATAAAAAGAAAACAACAAAATTAAGCCGACAATGAATGCAACAATCTTGAGAAAAAAAAAAGAGAACACTAAACATAAGAGCAACAAATTTTGCTTTTTTTTTTTTACCAATATAGGTAATGTATTTTAATTTGTTATCAATAAAGAAACATACTTTAGTGTTATATCCATAATTGTAGCATACTTATTTCATCTATAATAGCATCATATTGTCGTATTTCTTAACCCAATATATACAATGCACTTTATGTTTTTATCCATAAAAAAGTTAAAAACACAATGCATCAATATTTTCCGTCATTATTTCATTTCAAAGCGAGTAATCTTTGACAAAGTTGCAACAGATTTAGCGATGTAATTTTAGTCACTATTTTAGCAACCTTTTTTCATCCCATTGTATTTCAAGAAAAATTTAGCATCAAAATAGCTAATTGGTAAACTAATTATTCATTTATATGTGAAATGATTTACATCTATCCTTTCATCTCCCACATGCAACAGTTTTTATGGTTCATTTTCCTTCTTCCCCTTGCTTCTTCTCTTTTTACTGTGACTTGATTCTATGCATGGTTGGCCATGTTAATTGTAATGGTCCTGAAAAGTAATGCAAAAAGTTCTTCAACTAAAATGAATGGATTCATATTATACTACTGATTCATTTTACAATGAAATTCATTATCTTTATACGATGAAAATCAATTTAACTTCAACCATTTTCATTACACAACTGTTTTGCGCGCTTCATTATGTTTCCCTTTGCTTCCTCTACTTTATTTTCCAAGTATTCAAACCTATGAATTGTCACATTGTCGAACCATCCATTGGACATCTCTCTCATGTTTTCAAGTATCCAAGTATTTGAATTATATTTGCATCTTGTTTGTTTGAAGTAGAACAACTACAATTTTTTTTTTGTACAAAGAACTACACATTCTCCTTGATCTTCGTTTTCTTCTTTGTCCTCTATTTCTTCGGTGGTTCTTTTTTAAGTTGGGAGGAAACATAAGAGATTGTTGAGGGAGAACGTAAAGTGAAGAAATATTCGTTTTAGAAATTACGGGGATATCATCATACTTATCCTCCTATTCATATAAAACAATGACATGTGGAATCCATTAATTCTCTCTATGGATCTTCTTTTTTAATTTTGACACTTGTTTTAATCTAACGAGTAGGAAGATGGATAGGAACAAAAGTAGAAACATATTTGATTTTCAATGGATAAACAAGAGAGAAAAAAATCAGGGACAAAAATATCAATTAGTGATGGAATTTGCTATAAGATGTATTTGTCAATAATTTTGAGATATGTAGGACAACCGAAAATTTCCCTATGCAATAATAATAAAATCGAAGCAATTTTAGATTTAAAAAAAATAAAAATAACTTTCTACTCCCATCACCTTTGATTAAAGAATTAAATCCGTATACAAGTTAAAATTTTATTTTGAGGTACCTAACCATTTACAAAAATCAAACAAATATACTAATAATACGTACTCTACTTGAAGATGTGTTATGTTTGACAACGATTGATTCTGGTAATTTGGTGTATAAGAACAATAACCTCCACACATTAATCACTATCATTAACACAAACGAAAAATGAAATTGATAAAAAACGTAAAGAACATATCAAATGACAACATCAACAAATCTTTTATTAGGAACAACAAGATCTAGCTGGTTTTCAGGAACTTACAAGTGAAACCTTGCCTACAAGAAATCACTCTCACTCAAATGAAAAATTAAAACAAAATAAGTACATAACGATGAATAAGATTTACAGAACAAAACAAAGAAACCCTAATCTGGATTGTAACTCTAAAACAGAGAAGACAAAAGAGAACATATGAGACGAGAGAGCGTATGTGTGTGTGTGTTGATCTGAGAAGTCACCCTCTCACAGCTAAACCAGACAATATATACTCCGGGTTAAGAACCATGGATCAAAGTCGGGCTTTACCCGACTCAAACCTGTCAGAAAGTTCCGCGTGTTTTATTAGTTTAACGAAAGCGAGCCTCAGTCCCTTCAAAATAGCAATAATACAGAACAAATCCAACACAACAAAAATCTCACACCATACTCTCAACAATACTTTTCCATATTTACAGATTATACCCCAAACTTAGAATGACTCTCAATGTTAATCTTGCAATAAATATTTTATATATTTTTAACACCCCCTCTCAAGATGAACATTGAGAGAGGAAACAAACTTATTCAACCTTAAACGGATCATATAAAACCAATTCAGAACATAAGAAATCATGTAGCTTTGTCGATACAGATTTTGTAAAAATATATGTTCTTTGATTTTCTTTTCTGATGCAATTTGAATAATCTTCAAAATTCCTTTTGAAACTCTATCTCTCACAAAATGAACATCCACTTCAAAGTGTTTAGTTTTCTTGGGAAAACAGGATTAAATGCAAGTTTTATCGTAGAATCATTATCATAATAGACATTAGCGGGAAATAGATCTTTAACACCCAAATCATAGTAAAGTTTAAGAATCCACATGATCTCACATGTAACAGTAGCCAATGCCCTGTGTTCAAACTCACTAGATGATCTAGATAAAATGCCTTGTTTCTTACTTTTCCAAGAGATTAATTAATTACCAAAATAAACACAATAGCATGTAACAGCTCTCCTAGAAGAAATACATTTCGCCCAATCAACATCCACATAAGCACATAACAGAGGTTTTTGACTTTTAGAAATACTAATACCTCTAGTAGGACTTTGCTTTAAATACCTAAAAACATGCATAGCAATGTCCAAATGAGATTTTCTATGAGAATGCTTAAACTGACTAAGTAGACTAAGTGTTTGAACAGTAAAAGAAAGATCAGGTCTAGTTATACAAGGCCTCCATTTCCTCATTCATGGCACTTATCCAATTAGAGTCAGAAGAAGCTTCAAAGAAATTCCTAGGCTCTACAGATTTATTAAGATTTGAAACAAAACAAAAATTCTTAGAATTCAAATTTGCATAGTTTAAAGTTTTTTCTATACCATACTTGTATTTTCCCTCATCAACATAGTCATCAAACCATAGAGGCATCCTAGACTCCCTACTAGACCTTCTAATAGAATTACTACCAGACGGTTCAACATTTTTAAAATTATTTCCCTCAGAAGAACTAGATACACTTGGACCAACCTCCTCTTGAGAAGGAGACACTTGTACCAAGCCATCCATGCTGCTAACACTAGTTGTCTCAAAAGGAGTAGTTGTACTAGTGTTATCAGTCTGGTGGCTCATTACAGGTGTACTAGTTTAAGGTATTTTATCCATGTAGGATGACTGAAGTATTTCATCATAGGGACTTGGGTGTATAGGGTCAGTAGAAATAGAATCATTGAAAAATGAAAATAAATTTTCGTCAACCAAATTCTTTTTCATTTTGAAAGGAAAAACATACGCATAGAACATTACATCCCTGTAAAAGAAAAAAGAAGAATTATCAAGACTATACAACTTATATCCTTTCTTTTCATTAATAAGAACACATTTTCAGACCTTTCAACAAATTTATATGATATATTTTGTTTAACAGAAAAACACAAGCACCCAAAAATTCTCAAATTTTCAAACTTAGGCAAACAATTATAAACCATTTCAAAAGGAGATTTCCCCTTTAAAACAAAAGGAGGAAGGTTGTTTATTAAAAACACAACAGTTAAAATAGATTCACCCCAGAACTTAAGAGGAAAACTAGACTGAAACAAGAGAGACCTAACAACATTTAATAGATGTCTATGTTTCTCTCCACAACACAATTCTGTTGTAGAGTATATACACAAGTAGTATGATGAGAAATACCATTTTTATCAAAAAAATCTTTAAACTGAAAATTAACTAATTCAATACCATTATATGTCCTAACAATCTTTACACTTGATTTAAAATGTTTTTTTTCAAGAAATTATAAAACACAGAAAAAAATAAAACACTTCAGTTTTGGACTTCAACAAATAAACCCATACACCTCTAGTGAATTCATCCACAATAGTCAAAAAATATTTGTAACCATCAGTAGTAGCAACCCTATAAGGACCCCAAACATCTAAATGCACTAAATCACCTAGAGAAACACTCTTATGTTCACTCAACTGAAAATAATTTCTAGACTGCTTAGCCTTGTGGCAAACATCACAAGGATGAAGAGACTCGGAACCAAAAGAAAGAACATTCTTAAGACCATTCAATGACTAGACAGTAGGATGTCCCAGTCTATTATGCCAAGTGATTTTAGACACATAACAATTAACCTTACTTAAAGAGGATATATTACCTGAAGAGTGGGAGTCTTCAAGATAATACAGTCCTCCAGATTCACTACCAATCCCCACAATCACCTTGTACTGTGAATCCTGAATAGCACACTTAAATTCATCAAACACAACTTGACATTTATTATCCTTACAAAGTTTATGAATAAAAAGCAGATTAACATTAAAACCAGGAACACCAAGAACATCAGATAAGACAATAGAATCAATAGTTTCTCCAACCATGACTGATACAACTTATACAATAACCAAACCGAGTTCTTTTGGTAAACCCAATGATTGTACTAAACCAGATTCTAACCACCATTATTGGGGAAGACAAGTTAGTACAACCACAAAACCACAATTCTCTGTTATCAACAAATTGTAACAGTCACAAAAAGAAAAAAATGC